GAGAGCTTTGACCAAATTGCGGTATCTGATGTGGAAGGCAAGTTGAGGCTCTTATTCCTAATATTTGGTGATCTTCACCTTTCAGATCAAGTTTAAACTATTCAGCCTATATTTGAAGACTTTTAATATTTGTTTACTATACCCCTTATCCAAACTCAGATCCCTTTTTCCTCCAAGTAAATTCATTATCTTGTCTTTTAAATACATATTAGATTCATATACATCTCCCTAATGATACTTAATATGGTTTGGCACTGTGTCCCCACCCAAATCTCATCTGAAAATGCACTGTAATCCCCATGTGTCAAAGGAGGGAGGTAATTGGATCATGGAGGAAGTTTCCCCAATGCTGTTCTTGTGATAGTGAATTATCATGAGATCTGATGATTTTATAAGTGTTTGGAAGTTTCTTCTTCATTTCTAGCTCTCCTGCTGCCTTATGAAGAAGGTGCTTGTTTCCTTTTTGCTTTCCCTCATGATGGTAATTTTCCTGAGGCTTCCCCAGCCACGTGGAACTGTGAGTCAATTAAAACTTTTTGCTTCAGAAATTACCTAGTCTTGGGTATTTCTTTATAGCAGTGTGAGAATGGACTAATACAGAAAATTTGTACAAAGAGTCAGGTACTGATGCAATTTCTGGGGAGAAATTCAAGCCAGGTGCAAAAATTTGCATAAGTAATGAGGAGCCTAATAGTATTCACCAATATAATGGGGAAAATATATCCAGGACATGTCAAAGACCTTGGCAACAGACCTTTCCATCATAGGCCTAGAAGTCTAGGAGGAAAAAATGTTTTCACGTCTGGGCCCAAAGCCTTGCTATTTTGTCCAGTCTTGGGATTTGGTGCACTGCATCCAGGTGTGGCTAAAAGGGGCCAATGTACAGCTTAGATCATTGCTTCCAAGTGTGCAAGCCCCAAGCCTTGGCAGCTTCCACATGATGTTGGGCCTGCAGGAACACAGAAGGGAAGAATTGAGGTTTCAGAACCACTGCCTACATATCAGAAGATGTATGGACATGCCTGGATATACAGGCAGATGTCTGCTTCAAAGGCAGAGCCCTTATGGAGAACCTCTGCTAGAAGAGTGTGAAAGGGAAATGTGGAGTTCAAGCCCCCACACCGAGTCTCCATTTGGGTTCTAGTGGAGCTGTGAGCAGAGGACCACCAACCTCTAGACCCCAGAATGGTAGATCCACTGACAGGTGGCACAATGAACCTGGAAAGTCCACAGACATTCAATGCTAGCCCGTGAAGCAGCTGCTGAAGTCTTGGGGAGCCCACCTCTTGCATCAGCATACCCCAAATTTGAGACATGGAGTCAGAGGCATTCATTTCTCAGCTTGAAGATTTAATGAAATGCTCTGTGGGATTTCAGACTTGCATAGGGCCTTTTGTTTTGCCCTATTTCTCCCATTTGGATGGATGTATTTATCCAATGCCTGTACCTCCATTGTATCTTGGAAGGGGCTAACTTGTTTTTTGTTTTACTGGCTCATAGATGGAAGGGACTTGCCTTGTCTCAGGTGAGACTTTGGACTTAGACTTTTGAATGAATGTAGGAATGAGTTAAGTCTTTGGGGTACTGTTGGGAAGGCATGATTGGTTTTAAAATGTGAAAAGACATGAGATTTGGGAGGGGCAAGATACAGAATAATATGACTTGGCTCTATGTTCCCACACAAATCTCATCTCAAAATGTAAGTCTCACATGTCAAGGGAGTGACCTGTAATCCCCATGAGTTGAGAGAGGGAGATAATTGGATCATGGGGGAAATTTCCCCCATGCTGTTCTCATGAGAGTGAGTTCTAATGAAATCTGATGGTTTTATGAGTGTTTGGAAGTTCCTCCTTCATTTCTCTCTCTCCTGCTGCATTGTGAAGAAGGTGCTTGCCTCTCCTTTGCATTCCCATGTTGTAAGTTTCCTGAGGCTTCCTCCATCATGTAGAACTGTGAGTCAATTAAACCTCTTTCCTTTATAAATTGCCCAATTTTCGGTATTTCTTTATAGCAATGTGAAAATGTACTAAAACGATAATATATATCTTTTTTGGCCATTTTGAAATATTTCTATCGTTTTTTCCATCAATTCAATCTCATTCTTGAAGATTCAACTCAAGCATACCTCTCATAAGGGACCTCTTGTCACTGCTGTGGCTTGCATTTGCCTCTTCCTTCTCTGAAATATTATGGTAATTGTTGGGTGTTGCTCATTGGAGGACGTCATTACTTATCATTTCTCATGCCATCTAGCTGTGATGCACAGGGCAATGCACAGCATTGTAGTTCTTGAGCCCAGCCCAAAGAAACTGGTAGAGATTAGGATATGGATATAAATATTTGCAAATGGTGATCAATAAATAGCTGCTCACCATTTTCACTGTAATTCAATCAGGAAACCTGTATTCTAACAATATAGGAAAGGCGCCTTAAAAACCTATCCACAGACTGTTCATTTACAAAATAAATAAGCACAGGAAAAGAATCTGAGAAGTAAAAAAAAAAAAAAATGATAACTAACAATAGAGCTTTGAGAGCTGAAGATTTCAGCCTTCCTTTAATGGAAATATCTCAAAAACTTCAGCATAGAAAATAGGAACATTGAGTGACATGGTATGGATGGATGCAACTTTTGATTTAGCTTGTCCGTTTTGCTTTATTCAATAATATGTTTTTCCTTCTCCTTTACACATCATTGACTTTCAGTTTAATGGTTTTCAAAGTGTGTGATGGGGCTTTAGACGTGGATATAGACAGACAAAAAGTTTCTTCGTCTTTTTGTCTCATGCCTATATTTTACACAAGGTCAATAACAGGCTTCAGTGTTTTTACAATTACCAAGAGGATGAGATTTGTTATTGTGTGCAGATAAATGTGCTGATGCCTCCATTATTTATGGTATGAGATAAAAGTCACGCAGCCTTCTGAGACAAAAGGCAGGTAATATGTTTTATATCAGTGTTTTTGATGAGTTCTCTCGTAGACATTGTACCTTCCATAGCCCAGTGACTACCTAATGTAAATTTCTGGTGGAGTAAAACTGTCAACATTTAGTATTTTTTATGACTTACATTTATACAGCTAGGGAACAAACATCTCACTTTGGAAAACTGTGTGTAGCAGGTAAAGTGAAATTGGTTTTCTAATTTTATTTTTTTAAGTGTCTAGTGTTTATGTAGAGCAAAACAGTACCCCCAAGCTTAGGGGTAATTTCTAAATTTTAAAGTCCTTTATGTGAAAGAAAAAAAAATGTCCCCAATGATCAAAATGCTTCAGAAATATTTTGACATAGAAAATCTGGTTTCATAAATTTAGGAAATAGAAAACTTAGTCCTGATTTTAAAGTAAATAGAGACCAGGTGCAGTGACTTGCAGCTGTAATCTCAGTACTTTGGGAGGCTGAGGTGGGAGAATTGCCTAAGCCTGGTAGATGAGGCTGCAGTGAGCTATGACAGCACCGCTGCACTCCAGCCTGGGCAACAGGGTAAAACTCTGTCTCAAAAATAAATAAATAAATAAATAAATAAAATAATAAAGCAAATGGAATATGTTGTCAGCTACTGACAAGGATAACATTCTTGATTAATTCTCAGCAGAATCTTATTCCTACTTTTTGTTATTATTGTTCTTGTGGCACATTAGGGTTTAGGTGTGGCCAGGGAGCAGAAAAAGGTAATCCAGTTACAAATAATAAAATATATCTAATTCACAGCTAATGTTGGCAAGGTTATGAGGGTCAAGACACTGCCAGGAAATAATGATGATGGTATAAAATGTTGGAATTTTCTGGAGAGAAATTTCATAATATATTCCAAGAACCTTTAAAATATTTATGCTGTTTGAATAATTCAGCATCTAGAAATGCATCCTGAAGCAATAGCTTTTATTTAGTGGTAAAATTAAGAGAATTATCTTTGAAATTAGGATGAAAATATGCCCATTAAAAACAGCTTGGAGGTGTAGAGACATTGGTTAATTATTACAAAATACAGTTAGATTTAAGGGATAACCAAGGTGACTATAATTAACAATAATATGTTCTATATTTCAAAATAGCTGGAAGACTTGAAATGTACCCAACACAAATAAATGATGTATGTTTGAGGTGATAGACTTTCTAAATACCGTGATTTGATCATTATGCATTGTATGTGTCTATCAAAATAGTACATGTGTCCCATAAAGAGGTACAATTTAATTTAAAATAAAACGGTGTAATCAACATGTTACTAAATGTGCCAGACAATGCAATAAGATATGAAACAGAAATGAAAAGTAGATATATTGGAGAGAAAGAAGCAAAATTTTCGTTATAGCTGATAGGATTGTCTCTGTAAAATTCAAGAAATTCTACAGCTAACCTTTTATAACTAGTTAGATTTTAGCAATGTAGGTGAATGAAAGAGATCCATACCAANAAAAAAAAAAAAAAAAAAAAAAAAAAAAAAAAAAAAAAAAAAAAAAAAAAAAAAAAAAAAAAAAAAAAAAAAAAAAAAAAAGCAGAGTCTCTGCATAGCAGCAATTAGAAAATATAATTAAGAAAGAACCAGAGACAACCATCAGAATTATATATTAGCATCTAATTACAGCAATGTTTAGATTTAAAATAATCAAGAGAATCCTAAACATAAAACACTAGGAAAATGGTGAAATAAATTATGTATTCCTACAATGGAATATTAACTCATGTCAGAAACCCTAAAGAAAACACATAATTGTCACAAATTCAAGCTATTTGAAGAGAATCTAAGTATGTGGAAGTAAATCACAAGGAATGCAATGTCTGGGCTGGAGTGAGTAAGGATCAATTAACAGAATATGGATGAAAAGTGAGTATCTTTGAGAGCAGCAGCCAATCAGAGTTGATCCGGTAAGAAGGAACAAGTTGAATCTAATGCCTGACTTAAGGCCTCTTCCGTTCTCTGCTATTTTACCCTAGCTCCCCATTGTCCAAACCCACCTGAAATCAGAGATATAGGGAACTGTTTTATTTCACATACACAGATTAGCCTCAGAAAGAAAGCTGTGTGAAAAAGATGAAACACAGATTTGAAGGGTAAAATGGGAAATACTGTGCAGTTACTTAAAATTATATATTCATAAGTGATTTCATGAATGGGGATATGTTTACACTGAATACAGTAAAAAAAAGTAAGATATATAAAATAAGTAATTATATACTCAGTGTAATTCCCATTCTTCTGTCTCAAGCAATCTTGAAGACTAGACAGAAATCTATAAATCAAGGAAGGAAGAACCTCAAAATCACACTTCATAACTGCTTCAATAACCCTTGGCAATAGACACAACACTGGATGTTGGCTGATAACACTAAAATTTTTGCTGGTTCGATCTTAAGAAACAGGATAAGCGTGCAACCACCAGAACAGAAATGGATCGGGCATGATATCTGCTTCTTCAATTTGTAGTTTTATACTCAAAAACTGGCATGTATGTACCTAATTGGTAGCATGCAAGTCATACGACTCTATCCCGACTTTGAAAGAGGTTGAGAACTTAATTTCTGGCTTCTACCTTGGGAAGGCTCAGACTCATAACCTGGAAAATTAGCCAACATGCACAGGATATTCAAAGCTTCTAAGCAGTCAAAAGATTGTCAAGTGGTAAAACAGACATGAAAAAAACCTTTTTTTGGCACTCAATTTGAAAAATGTAACTTTCTCAAAATATCGTATGTGGCTTTCCGTAAAATTAAAGCAGTCCTGGGAGAGAGAACATCTCATATTCTTCCTAGTGAATTCATATTCTTCCTAGTGAATTGCTGCCACACTAAAGCAATTAATGAAAATGAAAATACTGTGTACAACATTTTTAAAGCAGCCTTTTTACTGACAAATATGTTTTAGGTATATATACAACTATGGAAAAGTTTTCCTAATAACAATTCTATTTTACCTTGGGTATATTCTGTCAGGAGAAATTCTTTCTTGTTCCCAATAATGGAACAAAAAGTTTGAGCTAAAAAGCACGTTTCTCATTCAACATGCACATCCACAGTAGTTTTTTCTCATGCCAAAGTGAGAAATCTACACTTGGGATTGTACAATCTTTATAAAAGTAATTACTAAATAAGACATTTAGAAGAAAACTGATTTTCTTTCCTATAATTAATGTCTATCACCTTGGCACCTACTGACAAAATTTTCTACTTAATGGTGATGTTTCAAAATATCGTTCTGCTCTATTTATGATAATATTCGATCTGCCCTATATAGGCTTTATATTACATTTAAAGTATCTGTGTACATTGCTTTTTTCATATTGTCATATCTATATAAATATTAGTAGCAAATATTAACATTTATTCCAATTTATGGTGGAGTCTTTGGCTTATTCAGGTGGACCACTACCCTAGCTGTCCAGAGCTCCACACCTGTTCTCCTCTGTTTTCCAGTGTCTGGTCATACAGAGTTTGTCAGAGCCTAAGAAAAGACTTGGGTATTGAATGGCATTTCTCTTGCCAGTGAGGAGGTTTCTGAATGCTGATGAAGTTTTCTCCACAGGCTTTGAGTAAAATTGATGTTGTTAAATCGAGTTTAGCCAAAAGCTTCCTGCTTACATATTTATTTTAAGTTGAGCCTAAAGTTTTTTCCATATATCATGAACTATAACCTAAATGGAGTTGTAAACAGACTATAGCGTACTCTTGTGCCAATCCCTGAGAAAAATTTGATTGGCCAGTCAAAGGTGGCCAACTGTTCAAACAATTCAAATAATGCAAACACTGAGCATGACCACTTCGGCTGCTTCTGTACCTCACTTCCATTTTCTGTATGTCACTTTCTTTTTTCTGTCCATAAATCTTCTACCATGTGGCTACACTGGAGTCTCTGAGCCTATTCTGGCTCAGGGAGACTGCTTGATTCACTCTTTGCTCAGTTAAACTTTAGATTTAATTTGGCTAAAGTTTTTCTTTTAACCACCTATACCCTGGAAACAAGGGATAAAAGGTGCTTGTGCAGTGATATCTGGGTGTTCTTCATTAATGACTTGGCACTCCCATGACAGTTCCACACTTAAAACATTTCCTTTTTTCATTCTGTCAGATTTCCTACTCAGCTCTTTTAGGGCGCTAGACTTACTCCCTTCTTCAGTAACTGCTTTACCAAGCAGCATCCACTTTTTTTTCTTTTAGTAACAAAGTACTTCCAGTTTTACTTGGATACATTGCTGCCCACTGAAGACTACATTTTCCAGCATCCCTTGCAGTTAGATGTGTCCATGTGAACATATTTGGGCCAGTGGAATGTGAATAGGAGATATGTGTGCAACTCAAGGTTTTTCCTTCTTTTGCTCTTTCAAAATAAACCTTGATACTGCTCTAAATGGAAAACCAAAATCATCATTAATTCCAAAATTAATTTTTATTTATTTGCAGGCAAGGAGAGCCTAATCTTCAAATAATGTCAGAAATTAAGAGGAAATATTTGTAGCTCTTCTGGTACATCAAAGAAAGGAAAATAAAATGCCAGACAGATTTCTGTATTCAATTTTGCAATCCAGTAACTTTCTAATATCTACAAGTACTTCTAAATCTATGATTTGAAAAACATATGTTAAGCAATTTGTAAAGTACAATAACCACTTTGGGAAGCTGAGGTGGGAGGATCACTTGAGGCTGGGAGTTTGAGACCCCCTTGGGTAACAAACCTCACCTCTACAAAATAATAATTAATAATAATAATAATAATTTAGTCAGGCAGGGTGGCAAGTGTCTGTAGTTCCAGCAACTTGGGAGATTGAGACAGCAGGGTCACTGGAGTTTGAGGCTGCAGTGAGCTGTGATCATGCCACTGCTCCCCAGTCTGGGTGACAGAGCAAGACTTTGTTTCAAAACACAACAAAAGTAAAATACAATAACATGTGTCTGCTATCATTCACTAAAATAATGTCTTTTCTTCCACAAAACAGTTTTTTATTCTTATTTCCACCGCATATCAGAAGGATTTAATAAAATTCCAAAATATTAAAAAGAAAGTGATTTAATAGTGCATTTGTTTTGATTTTCTTATTTCCAGGCCAGGAGCCTGAGAAACAGATTCACTGGGCAGCTTACCCAAACTGATAGGGCCAGCCAGTGGCAGTGCTAGAATTAAACCCAGCTTTCTTGCTTTTAGTAACTATGCCTCCTGCTTATCCACACATTTATTTTCTTGAGCAGTAGGCTTGTAATATTTGACCTTCTGTGTAAATACAACTGGGCTATTATAGCCACTGATACTTTTCTGGATTTTATCGTAGCCAGTAAATAAATTAACAGACTTAGAAGGCACCAGTTTACACCAAGCCACTCAGTACTCTAGATTGACCTTTCTCTTTAAAAACTATACTCTCTTTGGTAAAAGCACAGCACTCATTCCCAAAGTCTCTTTTGATTAATATGGCCCTCAACATTCATAACCATACTTCTTTCTCTTTTGCTTTTTTTCATTGTCAGCAGAATATGTATTTGTTGGAAAATCTTCTTTTCCTTTATCTATACTACACACTGCATGTTTCTCATCCTTGTCACTTTCATTTGTGTATGGGAAAACTGAGTACAGTGTCTTTTGATCTACTTTTAAGAAACCTGTCAGTAATGGTAGCAGAAGCCATCTTGTGGGTTGTGTGTTTGTGGATGCTTTTTGTTTTATAGTTTAAGACAACTGAATGATTGTTTGAATTTTCAATGCACTCACTTACATTCAGAGAAATCTTATCTACAGTAAGCAGACCTAGGATGCAGCTTGTTTGCCTTTGTACTCTCTAGCTTCAGCAACAGCACACATCATTTTGCCAATTTCATTCTTTTATTTTCATAGAAATCATTTTCTTTCTTTGTCCTAGACCATTAGCTTTGCAGTAGTCACGAGCCTCTCTCAGCTCCCTCGAGAGTGTCATTGCATCCTCTAAAGGTAACTTGTGGGACATGCAAATCTCTCTGCCTTGACATCTTTCACTCCTACAGGAAGGGTTTGATGCCATACCTTTGCACTATCTTGTGGCATATATCTTTCCCCTCCGGACCTCGTGATCCACCCAGCTTGGCCTCCCAAAGTGCTGGGATTACAGGAGCAAGCCCACCATGCCTAGCCTGTTTATTACATTTCTTACAAGTTTCAGATACTGTGCCATGATCTGGGGATAAAATGTTGCACAGTGAAGCCGTTTCCTAGAGAAACTTAGAATGCAGTGGGAGAAACAGATGCCTAAACACCTAGTCACAGTAAAATCAAATGAATGTTATCATAAAAGGAATTTACAGATGATATACGAGAATGTAGGAGAATGCCTAGGAATCATAAAGGGAAGAGAAGGTGATGAGCAGGTGGAAATTAGTCAGGTTAGGTGTAGGGTCAAGGGAAGTGAATTTAAGAAAGGCTTGAGAAAGGATTATCCATGCACAAGAATGACATGTGCAGAGAACTGGAGGCTAAAGAGATGAGCAGATTCTCTCCTCTATCAAAGAATTCAGTAGCCTACTTGGGACAAGAGTAGATATAGTATGGTGTTGGTACATAAAGAGATTTTTATACCTTGTACTTAAATACTTTGGATTCTGTTTGCTTCTGAAGAATATGAGGAACCATCACAAGACTTTAGAATAAGTGACTACATCAACAACATTGAGCTTTGTGAAGAACACTCAGAAAAGCACATAGGAGGGAGACCAACTAGAGCAAAGAGGCAGATGGGTCAATGAAGGAAAGAGACAATGGTGACAAAAACTAACAGAGGTGGTAAACAGACTGTAGAAAGAGATTTAAAGGAGGTATAATCAACTGAACTTTGTTCACTGAGTACATATTGAACATTCACTATGTGTTAGGGAAAGTTGTGGGTATTTGAGATTCATCAGTGAAAAAAATGAACAAAACAGACCAAAAAAAGAGAAAAACATGTCTCCCTTTTGGAGCTTATGTTCTTGTGGTTGTGTTTGTCCAACCCACTGATTTAATGAAGGTGGGCTGTGATGCAGAGATGAATTATCATCACACAGCAGCTAATAAAAATATAGACGATTTGAATCTTCGAGAGTTGGAGCTTCCTTCAGAGGACACTTGATGAAAGCTAGCATTGTTCAAAGGGTACCAGCGAATGTACTTTCATCAGCTGACATACTTGCTAATCAAATAAACTTGATATAATGAATTTGGAGGGGAGAAAAAAGCATTTGAGGTTACACTTAATGTTTTGCTTGGTATTGCAGTTTCTAGTGTGTTAGTTCGCTAAGATGTGACTCCTAGGCATGAGAATCTGTATTGTGAATTGAAAGAAGATACAGTTTCTAGATATAACTATATAATAGCATGGCTGACTTTTCTAGCAGGTACACGAAGCACAGTGCTTAAGGTCCACAATACTGCTAAGGGCCAAAGAAAGTGTTTTATTTTTAATCAGAAAAAAATGAATTAACTTTTAGGTCAAAGAAAATAATACATAATATTAATATATTCATCTTTATGACAATGTAGTCATAAAATATAATTTTAAGTGTTTTTTTGGGAAAAGGGACCCAAGAAGATAAAAGTCCCTGAGTGCATCAAAGTCCTAACATGGCTCTCTATAAAAGGAAAAAAGGGAATTCTGTTTTAATATGTTAAAAAAAAAAAAACCTAGTTTTATTATTGCCTTGATGGTATTCCTTACTTTCCAGCCTTCTTAGGAACTATCTTTTGGAGACTTTAAATATATCCAGATTATATTGTACCCGTTATTGTTTGGTCATCGCAAGCTAAACTT